ATATATACGTCCAGCTGGCACGTAAAAGAAATATACATAAAAACTTGTAAAATCAGATCTCACCACATTTTATTGAAATATTCTGAGAATTGAACCTCACAGTGAAACCTTGAACTTGTTGGTTGTGTTGAATTCAGGAGACACAGCCATATTATTTTTCTAGCACACCCATTTACCAAATGCCTTACTATCGTACAGTTAAAAACATAGGGCATTTTCTGATCAAAGGTCGCTACAAATCAGTCGTAATAAACTGAATGTATATAAATAACCCAGGCAAATGTTTTTCTGCTGTCATTACCCTTTGTTTACATTAGTGGTAATAACATAAAACTGACACTGTATCATGTGTAAAAGTTGAGTTATCTTGATCAATATCTGGCTCTTAATCTTGTAACATTAACAGTATTTTCCCCGCCTTGACTGAGTTACGATAAACAATGCAAAACGAACAGTTTTTGATAAGCTAGGGAAATAAAGAATATACATTTGCTCGTAATGAAATATTTTTACTGGGAATGTTTATTTGAATGAATTTTTAATGAGAATTTACACACAGACAGACGCATATTTTCGCAATACAACATAGAAAACTCATCAATAATTTCTAGATCATTTCACTAGCATACATTGCATTCCACTTAAGGTGAGTGATCGCCTCGCACTCACGGAGTTATGAGTGTTAATTTTCACTCTAAATTCAGACCATTTTGAGGAGATTTCAATGGCACTGTCCCCCCGAACAAAAACATTTTTTTTTTCTTTATATTTTTTGTACCGATGTGTTTAGAAGGCATGGTAGACTGTACTCAGATTTATACTGACTAGTGAACAGTCAGCTCTGGGAATCAAACCCAGAACCTTCCTGATACAAGAGGAACAGAACATGCAAACCACTGTACATGTACCATCACCCATGTTAGATTACTGTGCTGAGAAGAGCCATTTCTAAGCTCTCCAGCCATTAAAAAAGATCAGGCCTGATTATAACCATGGTAAAAACAGAGATAGACGTCAATGTTATAATATCGGGTGTGGTTCGGTAATGATCGTTTTTAACCACATCATCTATTATATTTTGTGTACAAAGAGTACATTCCGCCATACAAAGGTCACAAAAGTCATACTCTAAATAGTGTCGCACAATAGTAGCTGAATCCTAACAACTGTGACATGTACATAGTTTTCATAAGCTTGTCGATGATATCACAAAATTGCACAGACTATAAGGTCGGCTAAGTTGCATGTCAATATCTTAAAACACACATTATTGACCAGAATTTAAATAGATAAATAGCACATGTACATTACCCATATATTTTCAGGTTCAATTTAAATAGTTTTGATCAAAATTACTTTCACTAACATAAAGCCATGTCTGACAAAAACAACACACCTTCCTGGTAATTTGCGCCCGCAAGCAGTGTAGAATTTCTGTGGCATAAATAGATGACCAAAAAGGTTTTAAAAGCGTTGCTATTGTTTCAGTCTGTCTTCAACCGCTTGTCAATAAAAAAATAAATTAGAGAGTTTTGTTACATTGAATGTTGAATGACTACACAATCAAACACAGTCGTTACTGCAAAATGAAATTGCTTTCAACTATCTAGTGTACGTCATTTCGATACTACAGAGTTGTCTCATCAATAAAGGAAATCAAAGTAATCGCCAAAAAAAAAAAAAAAAAACAACGTAAATTGTTCAGTTGAGAGTCATCAGCCACGACACTGTTAAACACTGTTTGGAGCAGACGCCATTGCAACGACCGTTCTCGTCCTAAAACTGACCACCAGAATTTGTCCAACAATAGAGATTACTACCTATTGTAGCATTATGGCCATTGTTAAATATTTTGAACAATAATTAAATATCAGTGAGTTCACCACAATCATTTGAAAAGACAAGTTCCTGACCTAATGACCTCATCAAAAATGGGTCAATTTTTTTCGGCGAAAGGGGCGTGTTCTTACCTTAAAAGAGCTATGTACAAGCGTCTCATCTAGATCAATAACAATACATAACTTATGCATCTCAGAATGCCTCACCTCGGGCAGAAGATACTTGCTCTGTGACTGAAAAAAAAAAAAACACAGTAAAAACAAGTCATTGAAAATGACATAGTCCCTGTTGCTTAATTTTCAAAGTGATTTCATATGAGCTTATTATGATACATCCCAAAGAAAAGGGTAGATTCTGAAAGGAACAAATAAATGCAATATTTAAATGTGTTGATTAAAGTTGGTGTGATTAAACGGTACCCTATGAGTTCTTGCAGGTTGTATGCTGGCCGAAACAAGACATTCATGTCATTAATACATTATGTATCTATTATGACTGACACTCGTATGACAGACATGTTGAAAACTGGAGCCAGTTCATTTGTGCATTTTTGGGTATTTCTATGTTAAATTAGATCCGTCAAGGCATGTCAGAGATATGGCCTTGGAACAGTATTTGTTAAAACAAAATGGCCACCAATCAGACATTTTGAATCTGATCTGAAGAAAACATTACATGTATGAAATGAAATGAAATGTGTTCATGTATGACTGAGAGCAGACATGTGTTTCAAGATAATACAACATAATTTAATCAAAATAGGAATTAAATTTGTCAAGATTTTTTTCCAACAAAAGAACAGTGAATGTAAATACACGAGTTGTCTTAAATGATTTCAACAAATAATTATTTCCCAGGTTAGGTTAATATTTATCGACAGGATACACTTGAGTACATTTCTAAAAGACTACACAGTGAAAGTGGAAAAAGCAACAGACTTTCTAAAGATGTTGGAAACAATCCAAGTAACTAGATGCTGAAGAAACAGTGGTTTCTATGTCTTGGCTGAATTCACCAAGCATGGAGCGTGTCTGATGTACATGTCAATAGCATAAAGACTGCTTTTCAACCTCAATTTTGGTCTGAGTAATAAAGGAATTTATTAGAAAGACAGAATTGAAAGATTACCTTCACAAGTTTGAAAAATTATTCAAAATTTAGAAGTTGGTCCGTAGAAATACAATAGTTTTCACAATTACTGAGTAATGTATACAAATTGATTCAATATTGTGAATAATGTTAAATGTACTTGAGATGATCTAAAAATAGCCTAACAATAAATTTTAGTTTAACTGCTTAGGGGGCAGAATAACAACAACTACACTACTTTGGTTTTGTTGACAACCAAACTATGCAACAAAAATATTCTCAATGGTGAGAAAAAAAGTGGTCCCGATTAGATCAATCATCTACGCACTTTTTAACGCTTCTCATTCTTTTGTAATTGGTGAATTTCAGTCTTCATAAATGTGTCCTTCTATGAAAAAGTTTAATCCGTTAAAGTAAGTCCTTCAACAACAAAAAACTGACATAAAACACACCCAATGTAAACGCCACTCCTTTACACATACACTCACATTAACGACCGATGTGAATAACATCACAGAAATACAGACAAGAGTAATGTCCTTTTTTTATCGAAGAGATAATACACCAACCTGTACACCGTTTATTTCCAAAACGACTCCACAGAGACGTGGTAAAGCACTGAATTCGAACAGCATTAAAACTATCACTGATTAGTCATTGCCTAATCAACATAATTTATGCACTGACACTTAGCAATTGTCGCTATCACTACAACATCAAATATAATGATAACTTTGTAATTAATAGCTAGAATATTAATGTCCGCAACAATCGAAAAAGATTCTAAAGATTCATGTAATCTGGCTAAAATTTCATTTTAGAAGTGTTTTTTTAATACACCACAAAACCATTGTTCGACAATGTTTTGCACTATAGCAACAAGTGTAAATGAAAGTAATTTGTAATATTTTAAAGATTTAGTATATAGTCGTAGTGTGTTCAATAATATGCCGTCACAGTTAACATATATATGCACAACGCAGTATGTAACAGAACAATGGTCTATGATATTTAAAGCGAGGGAGTCTTCACCTGCGCATGCGTCAGATGGTCATTGTTGACAAACAAGCGTCTACCCATGAGCCTTTTCATTTTTACCATGTGTTGTTATCGGCGCTTGGACTCAATTCTCGAGCATGTGTAGGTGACGACCTT